ACCTTCCTGTGGCCACTGAGGGGAGCAGAGCCTTCAGGGGCAGCAGGATGCTAAAGAGGGACTGGGGCAGGTCTGAGTAGAGTGTGTGTGTGGGGGGGTGTGTGGAAAAAGTGGACAGATTGCGGGACAGGCCCCGCTAATGGGCTGGATGTGGGGAAGAGGTGCGGCAACGAGGAGCCCCAGAGCACCAGGAATAGGGCAGTGGGATTTATGGGGCTGGGGAACCAGGCTATAGAGACGACCTGGAGTCATCCTCCGGACTGGGGCGCCATGGGCCCCTCACCTGCTGTGCACGACAATGGCAGCCTTGGGTAGCCCCGTGGTCCCCGACGTGTAGATGTAGAAGAGTCGATCTGCAGGAGATGAGGGTGTTGGCGACCAGGTGCTGGGAAGGTGGGGTGAGGGGACAGAGTGGGCATTGGTGGGGAAGAGGGGCCCCACCTTGGACTCACCATCCATGCCCTTCCCAGGGGACTGGGCCAGGGGGGCCGTGGATGCCTCCTTTAGCAGCGGGTCCAGGAGCTGGGTGTCCGGCCAGCTGCCCTCAGGACCCAAGTCTCCAGAGCAGAACTTGAGCAGGCTCTTCCCCAGCTGTCCACTCACCTCAGCCACCACTGCAGCCCAAAACAGACGTGTCATGGTCAAGGAGGGGCCGGCCCCTCCTAAGGGCTGAGGTGCACTGTCTCCTTGCCCTGAGCAGCCACAGGCCCCTGCCCACGATAATGCCTGCACCCAGCCTCACCTGCTGCCAGCTCCCCTCCAAAGATGAGGGCCTTGGCGCCCGAGGTGCCCAGGCAGAAGGCGAGGGGCTCGCGCCGCAGGTTGACATTGAGCAGAGCGGCCTCCACGCCAGCCTTGGCCAGGCCCAGCCACAGACCCACAAACTCCGGCCGGCCCTCCAGGAAGATGGCCACCACATCGCCCGGCCCGAGGCCCAGCTGGTGGAAGACGTTGGCCACAGCGTTGGAGTAGGCGTCCAGCTGCGCGAAGGTCCAGCACACACCGCTGCCTGCATCCACCAGGGCCAGCCGGTCAGGCTGCTGCCGCGCCACTGCCTGGAAGATCCCTGGGATGGTGTGGTGGGCTCGCTGGTGCCGCCGCAGCTCCAGGCGCACTCTGATCAGCACAGAGAGGCCACTGGGGGGGGACAGAGGGGACGGCGTTACTGGGTACCTGGCCAGGCCCCCAGGAGACCACCCCCAGCCTCTGTGCACATCTGGAGAAAGTGGAAGAAAAGGTCCCTGTACCCCCGAGACCAGTGAGGGTTCAAGGAGGACATTTTGGTTGGAGGGCTTTTCAGGGACTAAGGTCCATCTACCAACCAGCCCAGAAAGCAGCAGATTCTCACAGCTGGCCAGGCCCTCCGTGACCCTGAGGGAGCCGAGGCCTAGTCCTGTCTTTGTTTCTCTCCTTTGGGACGTGCCAAGCACACCTCGCCGGACCCCTCAGGCTCCATCTGCCCCAACCAGACCCCGGGGTCCAGCCATGAGCTGGGCAGCTGCTCCACCCCCAAGTCACTCGATGGGTGGCCAGGGGAGGGGTGGCTTCTCCCAGGTGGGGCCAAGAGACCTGTTGTCAAGATGGGGGGGATACAACTCAATGAGCATTTGAAGCAGGTTTGTCTCACTTCCACTTCCCAACATGCTAGTGGATGAGGGGATCAGAGGCCGCAGGGGATGGCAAGACCCCAAAAGGAAGTAGCCAGGGCCCTGAATGACTGTGTAAAGGTGAGCAGCCACCAAGGATGCCAGGCTGTCAGATGAGTGAGAAATTAACTCTTTTTTTTGTTTTAAGTAAACAAAAATTGCTTTAATTTCTAAATTTCTTGGTGTGGCAGCTTGAGAAACGAGTGGTTCCCCTGTTTTTATGTGGCTCCCTGCCCCGGTGCCCAGAGTCTCTGGCTCTGAGAGGTAACCTCAAACCTTGTTAAGACACTGATAATGGGGTTCTGTTTGTTACAGCAGCTTGCTCTGCCCTGAACAATACAGACATAGTCTCAACTATACCTCCGTTTAGGCCTCATCTGGCCATCATGTCCCACCTGCTTTATCATCAAATTCCTTATCAAATCCATTCTTTGCTCCCCCACTGCCTCCCCCTTGCATCCTTGGTTCCTTGAAATGGTTTCCTTCCATCCCTGGACTCAACATCTTCACAGAGACTTCAGCACTGCCATTCATTCATTCATTCATTCATTCATTCCCTTCCTCCTCCATTTAGCAGACAGCTGATGTGTACCAGCACCTATTATGTGCTGGGTAGTTTTTGGCTCAGGCACAACCAGATCCGACCCTCAGGGGCTCACAGTATTTCCAGGAGACACACCCCCTCCTCAGACATGAACGAGCATGAAGGAAGGGCTGGCTGGTGACAAGGCCCTGAACCCCCGCTGCCTCCCCCTTGCATCCTTGGTTCCTTGAAATGGCTTCCTTCTGTCCCTGGACTCGACATCTTCACAGAAACTTCAGCACTGCCATTCACTCATTCATTCATTCCCTTCCTCCTCCACTTAGCAGACAGCTGATGTGTACCAGCACCTATTTGGCTCAGGCACAACCAGATCCGACCCTCAGGGCCTCACAGTACTTCCAGGAGACACCCCCCTCCTCAGACATGAATGAGCATGAAGGAAGGGCTGGCTGGTGACAAGGCCCTGATGGGTGATGCAGCCAGAGTGATGCGGACGGGGGCAGGGGTGGGAGTGGCCCTGAAGGGAGACAGGTAGATCACTTCTCTGCAGGGCCTGGCAAGATGAAAAGAAGAGGCCATGGTAAGGCTGGGGCACAGCCGGTACAAAGGCCCTGAGGTGGAAATGGGCCTGGAGAATGAGGCACATTCGAGAACCAGAGCAGAGGCCAGTGTGGCAGGAATCAGGCAAGAGGGGGATGGAGGGAGACGAGGTTCTTGGTGGGCAGACAGGTCTGTTAGAGGAGAGGATGTACAGGCCTGCAAGCATCTGCAGTTTTTTGTGTGTGTTTTAAAATATATTTTTAAAATATATTTTATTGATTTTTTACAGAGAGGAAGGGAGAGGGATAGAGAGTTAGAAACACCCATGAGAGAGAAATGTGGATCAGCTGCCTCCTGCACGCCCCCTACTGGGGATGCGCCCGCAACCAAGGTACATGCCCTTGACCGGAATCGAACCCGGGACCCTTCAGTCCGCAGGCCGACGCTCTACCCACTGAATCAAACCGGTCAGGGCTGCAGTTTTTAAAACTAAGGGTTCAGCGTTCTGATGACATTTGTGAGCCTTCCTGCTTGGGTCACTGCTTATCCTGGGAGCCCCTAGGAGCCCCTCCAGCTGCACCTGGGAAGGGATCAGGGTTTTTGGTCCTTGTAGGAATTTGCCCCCAGGAATTTGGACCAGCTGAACCCCAGCATCCGCACACATGCTACCTGCCAGCACACTGACATATGCACAGGCCTCACCTGCCCGCCCATTCACTGAGCATCCTTGACGCCTCCCCCAGGAAGCCTTCCGGGGGTCAGCCCTTGCACTGTGCCTGCTGCTCCCCCATCACAGCATACACTCCCCCAAATGGGGCCAAACTTGGCCAGATTCACATAAGAGGTGAGAGTCATTCTGGGCAAAGAAGGGAAAATGCAGATGGACAGTGGGGCAGGCTGCTGCCACTTGAGGCTTAGAGTCTTTCATCCCAAAGCGTATATGACTTAAATAAAAGTAAAAATTACAAATGAAAGTAGAAAGAAGAAAGAGAGCACCAGGGGAGGAAAAGGATGGAGATTGTGTGCATCTGTGGGCACGAAGAACAGACGAGGTCTGCATAGATTCCTGTAATCATATCTTGGAAAAGCGATACTGAGGAGGGGAACTGCAGGGCAGGGGGCAGCAAAGAGAGGGCACTGCACACCCCTCTAGAACAGTAGCTGGCAAACTCATTAGTGAACAGAGCCAAATATCAACAGTACAATGATTGAAATTTCTTTTGAGAGCCAAATTTTTTAAACTTAAACTATATAGGTAGGTACATTGCTATTAACTTAATTAGGGTACTCCTAAGGCGGCCTTTGCTAAAAACCTCCTCAATCTGATTGAGGTACTTTCGCTGAGGTTGACCCCTTCCAACTCTCCCATCCACACTCATCTTGTATACTTGTTTCAGATAGACGAGTGTGGATGGGAGAGTTGGAAGGGGTCGACCTCAGAGAGAGAAACATCAATTGGTTGCCTCCACTACAGCCCCAACGGGGGTGGGTGGGGGCAGGCGGGGTGCGGATCAAGCCTACAACTGAGGTATATGCCCTTGACCAGAATCGAACCCTCAACCCTTCAGTCTGCAGGCCAACACTCTAACCACTGATCCAACGGGTTAGGACAGTGGTCGGCAAACTCATTAGTCAACAGAGCCAAATATCAACAGTACAATGATTGACATTTCTTTTGAGAGCCAAATTTTTTAAACTTAAACTATATAGGTAGGTACATTGCTATTAACTTAATTAGGGTACTCCTAAGGCTTAGGAAGAGCCACACTCAAGGGGCCAAAAAGCCGCATATGACTCGCAAGCCGCAGTTTGCCAACCACGGCTCTAGAACATTCAAAATCTGTACCATGTGTTATGTATTAACTATTACAAAAAAAAGTAAGGATGCAAAATATTAAAAGTTAGCTGTTTATACATCCATCTCCCTGGTCAGATCCCCATCGCTCATCCATTCAACTAATAAACAGAGTAGCTAAGATGAGCAGCCTTTGCGTTTACTGAGGAACTACTATATGATGAGCGCTATGCTAACCTTTATGGTCACCTTCCAAAGTTGGGTCCTAAGATCCCCATTTGTCAGACAAATGAGCTGAGAGCTCAGAGAAGTAAATTAACACGCCCGAGATCACAAGGTCACAGTCAGGGACAGAATAACCAAGAACCAGGTCCCCTGGCACGATCCCTACGCTCCTCCTCAGGCTGGCCACAAAGGCAGGCCAAGTGCCCATGGTGCACACAGCAGTTGCTCAATCCATGCTTCTTGAAGGACAGGCATTGTACACAGACTACTCTTACAGATAAAGGAACTGGGACTCGAAGGGCGATGATCCAAGGGCCAGCAGGGCACAGGGCCACGGTCCAGTTAAGACATGCTGACTCTGCCACCAAGCTGGTAAACATCAGCTTACAGAGCCGCCGAGGCACCCACGCCGGCTGAGGGCAATCAGCAGCAGCACCTCTGAACGCCTCTGTGTGCCCAGCTCCCCTCTTAGAGCTTCCCTGATAGAGCATCCGAAGAACTCCATGAGGGGGTACTTGTGCAACAGCCACGGGGAGCGGGTCATCAGCGAGGTTTGGAACCACAGAAAGCAGCCCCCGCATGGGGGCTCCCCATCCACAGACCATACAGCAAGAAACCGGAACTGAGGCTGTGGCTGGTCACACTCAGGTTACTTAAGCACTCGAGGCGGGGTCCCAACCCCCCCAGCCTGTCACCAGTCCCCGAAGCACACCCACACAGGCAAGCAGTGAGCGCCAGTGCTCAGCTCCAGCCACATGCCTGGGCAGAAGCCCAAGCCATCCCCACCCTGGGGACAAAGAGGCCACTCTCCGCCCCTGGGCCCTTCCCAAGGCCTCTTCTCATCCCTCCGCTCCTTGTGCCGCCTTCTGTACTTACCCGGGGCAAGAAGAAACCAGTCCGGTTAAATGTGGTCAGATTTCATGCCACAATTACAAGACCAGTTGGAAGAACTGGGACGGGGGCTTAAATATTTTCTGAACGCAGGGTCTAAATACAGCTCCCACCACCATGGGCACAGCATAGCAGCTAAAAACATGGACTCTGAAGCCCTGCCCTTCCCTGGCTGTGTGTTCCTGGGCAAATGTATTCACCTCTCTGTGCCTCGGTTGACCAACCTGTAAAATAGGTTTCATAGGCACTTCTTCCTTACAGAGCTAAGAGAGAGCATTAGAACAAAGCCTGCTGCATGGAGTGGGCTATACAAGCTGTATTAGTTACTGCAGCATAACAAATTATTCCCAAAACGAACACTGGAAACAACAAACATTTATTATCTCACAGTTCCTGTGCGTCAGGAACTGGAAGTGGTTTCGCAGGGTGGTCTGGCTCGGGGTCTCTGGTGAGCATTAGTTACTGCGGCATAGCAAATTACTCCCAAAACGAACACTGGAAACAACAAACATTTATTCTCACAGTTCCTGTGCGTCAGGAACTGGAAGGGGTTTCGCAGGGTGGTCTGGCTCGGGGTCTCTGGTGAGACTACAATCAAGGTGTCAGCTGGGGCTGTGCTCAGCTCAAGGTTTTACTGGGAGGGAATTCGCTTCCAAGTTCATTTATGTGGGCCTCTCCCAGCGCTGCCTCCCATGTGGCAGCCTAAGAGAGAGCACTCAACGTGGAAGCCACCGTCTTCTTCAGAGGTAACATCCTATCACGTCTGTTGTGTGCCATTCATTAGAAGTGAGTCACCGGCCAGCCCACACTCAAAGGAAGGGGATCTGATAAGAGCATGAAGACCAAGGGGCGAGGGGGGGGGGGCATATGCAAGGCTGCCTCCTACAGAAAAGTGTGGTGTCAAGCCCTGTGTCAAGGCCTCAGCGTGGACCGCACTCCTGCCCTGTCCCCAGAGAAGACAGGGCCAGGCATGGATACACCCAGTTCCATGGGGTAGAGCGAGGGCCTCGACAAGCCCAAGGAGGCAGGGAGGGCCCGCCAGCCATGTGCGACCCTAAGTGGAGGCCAGGGCCACGGGCTCCATCTGGGCTCCCCAAGTCCCCAAGAGGAGAGGACACTTGTGAAGGCAACGAGTCAACAGACCCATGGCAGGTGCGCACACACTCTCCCAACATGGGGGCTGCTACTGAGACATCTGCCGGGAACCTCCAGCAATACCGATTTCACACAAGACGACTCCCACAGCCTCTTTGAGCCAGACCCTCAGAGACCCAGAGACCTTCCAAGGACACCTGCCATGACACCAGAATCCTCTCCCCAGAGATCCCAGTCTCCAGAGCCACCACACAAGCCAGAACACAAAGCAACCTCCCCACAGACCCTGAACCCCAAGTCCCGCCCAGACCCCAACTCTCAAAGAGCACCTGTCAGTGGTCACAGGGAAACCTGTCAATGGCTCAGAGGCACACACCCTTCACAGACCGTAACTGCCCTTTACAGATGCCCCAAGAAGCCCTTTCATTCCTTCTCCAAAAGCCCTAAGTAGACCCAAAGTGTCCAGTCAGTCTGGACAGCCTCCAGAGACGACTGAGCTGCCCGTGTGAGCCCCTTGGGACCTACCAGAGTCCCCCGAAGAGCCCTCAGAGGCCTCCCACCAAGGCCCCACCTCCCAAACACCCACAGCCTCACAATCAGCCCCGGTTCTATGGGACTCCTACCAGCTGCCCACAGACCACCCCCCAAGTTCCCC